ATATTTCAGGGAAAGATGGCCTTCTGAAGTAAGCTGAGGTTGGTCCCCTGATATGTTTGCGAAAGTGCAGGACTGATATAAAAGTGAAAGGAAGATTTTTCTCAGCTTGTCTTTAAAGACATCCCTGCAAAAGTTGTTTCTCACTGGTAGAAAGCCATCAAAGAAGGGAGGAGATCTGTGCTTTGTGTGAAGCTAGTTCAGGGAATAGTATATATGATTTCTTGGTCCAAGTCTTTCACTTACTGGTCCTACCTTAATAGCATGCCCTGGGTTCCTGCAAAAGAAACAGCTGGTCTTGGGAGAATCTGGGTTCTCTTCTGTGCTGATTTTGAGAACTCCACAAAAGCTGACTTTGAACATTGAAGTCCATGATGATGCTGTGAAACTGTGAAACAATGTCATAAGGGAATATCAGTTCACTTAAGGCACTTAAAAACAGGCTTGGCTGCCTATCACGCAAGCATCTCTGAACTGGCAGGGAGAGAACTGCACGTCCTAACAATTACTTCTTCCTCTGATGTCTATTTCTAGTCAAGAAAGTAGACAAAAAGACAAAAAGTGCATAACTTTAGCTCAATGGTTGTAGCAAAACAGAGTATGCGTGACAAACTTCTGTGATGAACTTCTGCCTGCTTTTGCAATAAATCATAGAATCATATGTTGATGCATTTTAATATTTTCTTGCTTTTATAGGTATTTGCATATTTTCCAGTGAGAAGACCTTTTGTTTTCTGTAAAATACTATTATCCCGAGTGTCAGTGGGATTCCAGCTGTTAAGACATAATCATATACCTTAAGTATTTAACTATAAATTTGAAAAATCTTAATGAGCGATCTCAACGGAATACTTGGAATGCATTCATAGTAAATTGGCTCATTTTCTTGTAATTTTCTAGAAGTGCTGATATAAGAGCAGTTGTAGTGTAGAAAGTATATTAATCTCGGGAGATGCATTGTATCTATTAAATTATTACTTTAAAACTTTAAGACATATGAGGTGATCTAGGCTTACTCTTGTTACTTAGAATTACAGTAGAAAAATGTTCACTATCTTTTGAGGTAATGCATTTAAAATAAATACAGCAACCTTAAAAACAAACAGTGCAGTAATAAATTGAATTAGATGTTGTATAACCATGTATCTTTTCTGAATGATTACGGTGGGTGAAGAGAGTCAGCAGGATGCCTATAGTAAAGTTTGTTTCTTTCTGTTTGTAAAAGCTGTCTAGAAATATTTTCACTTGAGATCTTTTCTGAAATATAAAGCCAGAGGTTCTTGACACCAAATCCTGAAGCAACTAGCTTGATGCCATTCTGTGGAGACACAATCACCCGTTGGCTGTACTATTTTTAATAAAGGTAACTGGACTTTAAATAACTTTTAGATTTAGTGCATTTCAGAAACAGTTGTTAAAAGATTATCTGCTTGCTTTTTTTTTTTTTTTTAATAGAATGCAAGAAGTGGAAAAACTGCAATTACTTTCAATACTGTAATATTAATCAAAATTATTTTTGGCACTGGGAGGCTGAATATCCTGGCTTTTCATGGAGACATCATATTTAGGAAATGTCTAAGGCTTTGTAAAACTGTTGCCCAATAGACTGGAACATGGAGACACAGCTAGACCCCATGAAGGATGACTTACCCTTAATGGCCAACACTAGCCACATGCTTGTAAAGCACTATATATTGGACTTGGATGTGGATTTTAAAAGTAAAGTTATTGAAGGCGTCATAGTTTTATTTTTTGAGACTGGGAGCCGGTACAGGAAAACCAGCAGTACTGGCAAGGAAGGCTGCCAGTCACAGTTTGATGAAACCTGTAAAATGAGGGCATCTGAACCCTGCCCCAGTCCTGTGACAAACGTGAGTGCCTGTTCAGCTGAAATGGAGTATGATGATTTTGCTGTCTGTGGTAAAGGTGAAGAAGATACTTCTGATAAAAATGGTAACCATAGCAACAAGGAACAGGCTTCTGGGATTTCTAGTTCAAAGAACTGCTGTGACATAGAGAATCATGGGAACGAGGATTTTCTGCTGGTATTGGACTGCTGTGATTTATCCGTCCTAAAGGTTGAGGAGGTAGATGTTGCTGCTGTGTCAGGCATTGAAAAATTCACAAGGTCTGCCAAGCTAACTGATGTTTCAAAGGTGCTGGAAAATCTCAGGAATCAGATTGTACATGAACTTGTGACTTTACCTGCTGATCGCTGGAAGGAACAGCTATACTATTTTACTTGCTGCAGCCAGGCGCCTGGCTGTGGAGAGCTTCTGTTTACTACTAGCACTTGGAGCTTGGAGATAAGGAAATCAGGAATTCAGACTCCAACAGACTTTCCTCATGCAATAAGGATATGGTACAAAACAAAACCAGAGGGACGATCTGTTACATGGACTACAGACCAGAGCGGCAGGTACGTAACTATTAGCTGAAAGCTTTGCACACATAACTGTGTTTTAGACGTAGGTGTGAGAATGTAGAATTGTGTAATGCTAAGCAACTATGTGAAGATGGCAAGCATTCTCTTCCACTGTTTTTATTTCATCCTTGGTTTGAATCCTGTTGCTGTCCTGTAGGAGGATAGACAAACTCTCTGCTCAAGAAACCCCAATGGACTTGCAGACCTCAGGCTTGTCTAAGTGATCACGTTTGCTCATTCTAAGTGACAGTAAATAATTGTTGTGTATTGGAATAAGTGTGTGCACGCAATAGGGAATTATCACTTAGCGAAAGAGAAGGTATGCATGACAGGTTATCTTCACTTCAAAACTTCATCTTCTTTTTCCCTTCTGGCTTACACAGCTGATCATACAGGTTAAAGATCAGTGTACGTAATATTTAATAGAATTGCTTCACAACTAGTCATTTGTCAATATTGTAATAAGTTTAGCAATGCTGTCTTTTCCTGTTTAGTCTCTCATAATCAACTTTTAAAATCTCTATCTATTATGTAAAGTACATTGATGACAGCAATGAACTGCAAACTGAAACTGCAAGAAGAATTGGCATGTTATCTAGTGTTTGTGAAGGTATGCAGTGCTGTACAAAAATCTTCAAGATAAGCTCTTTGTAGGAGGGAAACTACAATCCACTCTGGACTTCCACAACTGATTTTTTTTTTTTTTTACTGTAGTGTTGAAAGCTGGATTTAAATGCTGTTAGTTTTTTGTGATAACTAAAAAACAGGAACAAAGTTGGAAGGTGAAGACATTTGGTCTAACTGAATACTTGCTTTTCATTCCCAAACTAGAGATGGATAGTTACCTTTCATTTTAGTTAGGCAAAGAGAAATTAAGAGTATTCTCCCTGGTATCCACATTAGGGTGGAAAATGAGGCCTTTTAATTGTACATCTGGTGGTTAGGTAATTCTACTGCTAAACCATCGTCAGCATCAAGTCCACGAATGTCTCAGTCATATTCATTACCTCTTCCCCTTTCCCCTCCCTTCCTCAGCCCCCAAGGAGTTATTTTTGGTATGAGTTTAGGAAATTTAACTCAATATAGTATCTTCAGTTATGAAAATTCTGAATTTTGACTGCAGGCAAAGGTAGGGCAATTGCCAGCGCTCGCACAATGTGTCCATGTCTACCTGCCCCTTACTAAAGTCTTTGAGACTAATGTTAGAAACACTCAGCTTCTGTGTGTGGTCTGTGTCTTTTGAGCATTTGAAGATTTCTTTTAAGGATCCGAATCACTAACATCTTTTAGTTTTGACTCTTTTTTTCCTTTCACTGCAAAGCAGTATTCTTGCTTTAGAGATCATTTCATGGCAGTTATACACAAGCACGTGGAATGGTATGAATCGGTAATGAAGCAGGAAAAGATAGCTTGACATGGGTTAGGCAGCCTGATAGTAACAAATAGTCTCAAGATGGTTTATTTTCAGTCTTTTGTAGGGTATTCCAGAAACTAGTGCCTGTCAGAAAGTAAGTTTTCCTATCAGAGTCAATAGAATCTTTCTTGCTCCACTTTTAAAATCAAACTCTGTATGTGATAAACCCATAAATATAGTGGTAAAGCACATTGTACAAAATGCTGTCATATTTCTCCTTCCCTTTCTAAAAATAAAGCCCATTTATATAATGCATGAAGGAAGTACTATTACATTATATTCTCATAGGGGAATTCTTTAAATTGTTCCAAATTATGCATATGGTGCTGTTTTAGGCAGATGTCAAATCCTTTCCCAGAGGAGTCAATAATCTATGGTTCTAGCCCAGAAGCAAAGTGAAGCAAATAACAAAGTACAAGCATTGTGCAGCCACTTTCAATATGTTTCCTCTAATCTGACACTAGTACAATGTTTTGAAATTTAGCCTATGCACGATTTCATAAAGACTTCCATTTTGTTTTAAACAATGATGTATTATAACGCACAAAAAAATGAGTTAAAGCTTTGTGGGATGAGTTTAAGCAAGTTGAGATATGTGTATGCAAACCTAATGTTAGCACAGCAGGGCACACTTCTGTTTTCAGTAGAGAAACTGAACATATGGAATTTCAGCATTTCTGTGTTCGAGCTTTTGATACTAGAAAATACATTGGTGATCATGAAGGAAGGTTTTCTTTAGCCTTAGAACATGTTTTTTGTAGTAACATGCTTTTTGGGGCCTTTATACATAAGTATTAAAACCAGGGCAAAATAGAGGAATAGAGTATGTTTGTGAGTATATGTGGGTATGCACATATATATACATATATGTATAAATATATACACTTTTTTGTGTCTCCAAAAGATATACTTACAAGGACTATATAATTTCTTAAAATTGGCAGGTAACTTTTTACAGTGATCAATAATATAATTACTAAAATAGAAAGAAAAATGTTGATTAAATGTTTGTCATCTCTTTATCATGAACAAAGAGCAGTTCTGTTTCAAAGTTTTTCAGTTGTTACTAGCACAATACAGCACTGGGGTTTCAAACTGAGAAGGTAATGTTCCAATTTTAACAAAATCATACTTTTGTTTGAGGTATTCTTGCTAATATTAAGTATTATAAAATGATTTAAAATAAAAACTTATTTTAGACACTAGTAACCACTTTGTGAAGGGAATAATGTCTATAAAACATCTTTCATTATTAGGAAGCAGGAACTTTTTGCCAGCCCATCAAAATGCTTAAGCAGTTTTGCCTAAATCTTAGGAGTAAGTAGCAGTGTTAAGTCAGCGTGGCTACCAGCGTGTTTCGAATTAAATGCTTTCTCATGATCACTGTTAAGAATCCTTATTCATTAGAATATCCTGGGATTCCATCACTTCATGTTTAAGAAAAGGATTAAACACATTTGGGTTAAAATCAAAGGGGTAATCAAAGGAGTAATTTAGCAAACAGCCTCGCGAATTCACCTCTAATGGGAGATTCCTCCCACTTTTTTTTCTGCACTACTTGCTGCCATTTTTAGTGCTGCCATAAATTAGTTAATGGTTTTGTTGATATTAATGTGCAACTGGAATGGAACTCATTTCCTCATTGTGGGATTAGGAATGAAAGAGTAACTTTGATATGAAAGACATCAATGCAAGACATTCCATGACACTGAAACCTTTCAGTACTGGGTCCTAATCCCGTAAGCTACCTGGGCATTGTTTACCTTGGCATACCTGAATAGGTACATGAATAGGTCAGGCACATGCTTTTTTTTTTTTTTTTTTTTGCATTGAGCTGTAGATATCAGATATACAGAAAAGGAGAAATTTGGGGAAGTAAAGGGGATGGGTTGAGTTACTCAGAGTGTATGATTTTCATGAGAATGCTATGGAAAAAGTGTATTTTTAGAAGCTATGACAGGATTATGGAGCAGTTTTTGGGAAACGCTCTAGAAAGAGTTAACCTTGTACGAGTTTTCCAAAGTGTAAAATAGCGGAAAATGTGAAATGATCTCCTTAAAAAAGTTATTATGATATCTTGATATTTATTTGATCAATTTAATTGTCTTGCCTTTAAAAAATATTTTGTACCTGTCTAGTTTATTATCTTTATTAGGTTAAAATATCCATGTATTTTTAAAGAATTCAGGAAATATTTTTGCCTTTTTGAAAGCTATGAAGGTGAATACAGCAAACAAATCTACAATTTGGTAGAAGTGCTAATGCTAGCATATGTTCTGTAATTAAATGCTTCTTTTCAGATGCAGTGGTCAACTGTATCACAGACATCACTGAACTGCATGGTTCCACATACATTACAAATAATCTTGCATTTCTGTAATGTGCAGCCAAAGCACCCGAGGTAGATAGTGATTAGGAGTATACCCAAAGAGGTAGTACCTAACGTAGGAATAAAACAGATCTTGGTTTCCTGTTTAAATAGTTTGCTGTTTCAGCAGAATCAGTAACATCAAAGAACTAGTAGAAAACCTCAGACGAACCTATTGTGATCTGTTCTGTGTACTCGTGTTAGGAGTTGCCGTCAGGCTGGATCTCACTGGTATGGAGACTGGCACAATTCCTCATTATTTTTTGTCTGCAGATAAAAAAGAGAGATTTTTACCTTTTTTGAAACTGGTTGTTTCAAGCCTGCCTCTCCTTAAGACACATATGTTTTGAAATGCAAATGATATTCGAAGAGAGTGGTTGCAATTGTTCAGATGTATTGGTAACACGAGCTATTCATAAATGTGGGTACTTCTGAAGATAAGCCCTTAGGAAGTCATACTCTTCTTTGGCACTATAATCAATCAGACTGTGTTACGTAGTATGTTGCATACAGTAAGGACTGAATAAAAACTGTATAAAAGCACACATAGCAACATTGAAATTTTTCATTTTTTACTATTTTAATATTTACTTCATAGTTGATACTCTCTTTTGAGAGAGACTGAAATTTTCGTAAATGTTCTAAACTTCAATTTTTTTATAAATATTCAGGGTAGTGGGAATATGATAAACATGTTTCTCCAATATTTAGCTAAAGCTTGAAGCTGGAAGTGATTTCATGAGCAGTGATCTCTAATTTCCAGGAGGTTACACATAGAAGTCCATGTTTATGAACTTTCTGAATATGGAAATATAACCTAGAAAAAACATTTTGTGTAGTTCTAAACACCATGTTTCTAGTGTCAGTCACAACAATGTTATTTACTAAAGATGGAGAAGGGGAGTTGAATACATTTCAGTATATGTAATTTCCTTAAGTCTCAGAACAGTTTGCAAGAACTATGAAATTGTTTTGGTTTATGTAGGGACTGCTGGAGAAGCAAAATGTGACCATTTTGCATGTGGAAGGAATGATTTCTTTCCAATAAGTTTTCAAAGTTTTGGTTTAAAATCATTTAAGTCTATCATCTTTATGTCCTACAGAGGTCAGATGACCATCGAAAGGTTGCAAAATTGTTCTTTGTGTCCATAATGACTGGCACTTAAGAGTGAAGAGTGGCATTTGGCTATGGTGAGCTAGCAATTGGCTATG